TGTTCCCCACACTGGCTCTGGTGAATTCTCTCACCCTCCCACGCTTCTGACCGTACCCAGTGCTTGTATAAATAAATAAATCTTTAAAAAAAATAAATAAATAAATAAAAATCAGGAAATTTAACATTGAAACACTATTACCGTAGGGTCCATATTTACATTGTGCCTGCTGTCCCGGTGGTGTCTGTCACAGGCAACTGTGAATTATTTCCAGGCCCAGGACCCCTCAAAGGTCACACGCCACATTTTGTCACCAGGTAGCTTTAGCCTCCTTTGCTCCTGAACCATTTCCACACTCCTTTTTCTCTCATGACCCTGACATTTTCAGAGTTCAGGGCAGTTATTTTGCCAAATGTCCCTCAATATGGATGAGTTTGCCATTTCCTCTCGACTCATATTCCCGAGTTTTTGTTAGGAATTTCACAGGTGTTAGGCTGTGCTCGCATACAATGTTGAATTCTCCCAACACCGATGATGCTCGCTATCTGTGAGCAGCTGGGTGAGCTCTGAGGCCAGAAAGGAGAGGAGACTCACCTCCACTTCACAGCATCTGGGTTGAACAAGTACTCAGATGGCTGGAGCAAAGCAAGACACAACCCACACACACCCAGGGTGTCCTCGGGACCTGACTCAGGGAGCCAGGGCTGGGTGGGGAGGGGTCTTCTGGGCATCATCCCCACAACCCTCCAGCTCCCTGATGCCCCTTTCTGCTCTGTCCATTTCTAGTTATTTTTTATTAAAATGTTTTCATCAGGCCTCCCTGATGGCACTGGGGCTAAAGTCTCAGTACTATCAAGCTATCAGTGAGGCCTGAGTTTGACCCCCAGTCAGGGAGCTGATCCACATGGCGCAGCAGACCTCTCCTGTCTCACCTGCTGCTCCCCTCAGCAGTGTATTTCAGTAGATCCGCCTGTTCTGTTCCCCACTCTGTCTCTGGTGAATCCTTTCACATCCTGCACCTCTGGCCTACACCCCAGTTCTTGTGTGCCTAAATAAAAATAAATCTTTTTCAAAAATAAATAAAAAAAAATGTTTTCATTCCACAAAGGATACATGACATTTGTTTTTGTTTTAAGAACATATTTCACACTAATTCAAAGAAACAGCTGCACTCATATACAGCACAGCATTATTCACAGTAGCCAAAACATGGGCACAACCTAGGTCCATCAGCAGATGAGTGGATCAGGAAGCTGGGGTATATACACAATGGAATACTATGAGGCTATTAAAAAAAAAAAAAAAAGCAGTAATCCTGCCATTTGTAAGAACATAGATGGACCTAGAGGGAATCCTGCTTAGAGAAGTTAGGTGGAGAAAGACAAACATCATCTGACTTCATTCATATTGTAGTACCTAAAGAAACAAATGAATACAAAAATGTTTTTATCATTGCTGTTCTATTTTTAAAATCTATGAAAATACAAAACGAAAGTTTTGTATTCTTTATTTTTTGAAAAATAAACAAAAACAATAAAATACCCACCCCTATCCCTTCTACTCGTTTCACCCTTTCCCCAATTCCCCACCCTTTTCACTTTCTCAGTTAGGTTATTAATATCGACTAGTTTATTTTTATTTTGCTTTGTTGGTTCATCTCCCTTGTTCCTTTATATTCTTCACCTATCTGAAATCATCCAACATTTGCCTTTATCTTTCTGGCTAACTTTGTTTCCAGTAATCCCCGTAAGGTTCTTATAATTTCCTGCACACAGCAAAATAGTATAGTATCCTGCTGTGTGGACATTATCACATCTTCTTCTCTAATCTCTTTTAATGGGCACGCAGGTTGCTTCTGTATCTCACTATTGTAAATAAGGCCACAATAAACACTGTGGAACATATAATTTTGGGGGTTGATGGTTTCATGTTCTTGAGATAGATACCCAAATGTGGGTTTGCTATGTTGTGCAGTAGTTCTATTTTTAGTTTTTTGGAAAGATTCAGACCACTTTCCAAAATGGCTGCACCAATTTGCATTCCTACCAAGAATATAATGGGTCCTTTCTCTGCACCTTCTCTGCTTGTTGCTGCAAGTCTTTTTGATGTTAAGCATTCTCATGGGTATGAGATGACATTTCATGGCAGTTTTGATTTTCATTCCCCTTATTAGAAGTGATGATGACCATTTTTTTTGTATGTCTGTTAGTCATCTGTGTATCCTCTTTGGAAAGATAGTCATTCAGAATTTCTGCCCATTTTTTTAATTGGGTTTTTTTGTTGTTGAAAAGTTGGATGGGGCCTCCCTGGTGGCATAAGGGATTAAGTCTCAGCACTATGAAGTGATCAGCAGCCACTGCAGCATGAGCTCTATCCCCGGCCAGGGAGCTGACCCACATGGTGCAGCAGACCTCTCCTGTCTCGCCTGCTGCTCCCCTCAGCAGTGTATTTCACTAGATTTGCCTGTTCTGTTCCCCACTTTGTCTCTGGTGAATCCTCTCACTCTTCGCACCTCTAGCCTACACCCCAGTTCTTGTATGCATAAATAAATAAATCTTTTAAGAAAAGTTGGATGAACTCTTTGTACACCTTGGATATTAACCCTTGTCAGTTGTATGATGTGCAAATACCTTTTCCCATTCAGTAGGATTTTTTTTTAATCTGCTAATATTTTCTTCTGCTGTATAAAAGCTTTTTAAAATAAACTTTTAGAACATAAAATTTTAAGATTAAAAAATGTTTATATAATCCAGTCATTCCACTTTTGGGTATCTATCTGAAGCACATGAAAACATGAACTCAAAAACTATATGCTCCCCAGCATTTACTGTGGCATTATCTACATCAGCTAAGATTTCAAGCAAAACTAAAGCCCCGCCCTGCCTCCCTCTTCTGTTTGGTGGAAAAGCTATAACCAGTTCCAGGAAAAATGTTCTCTTTCCACAAATGGTCACACAGTACAGGTCAGACTTGTAAAAATTTCCCTGGCAGGACCTGGCGGTTGGGCTTACTCTTTTCAAGTGCATGACTGTGTTGCAGCAGGTGGCTTCCGGATGGACATCGGGCTGGGCCCAGAGTACTGCTGTTAGTAAACACGCCCCCACCCCCACCATTGCCACAACACACACAATTCAGGACTTCTTGTAGGGAACTGCCCACATGCAAGAGCCTGGACAGGGCAGCTCCTGGGGTGCCAGACTCCCCCAGGGGATGCCTCACTGCAGGGGTGAGGAGGGTTCAACTTGCCAATTGAGGTTCAGGGCTCCTAGGACTTGTCCAAGAGCCGGGCAGTTTTTCTTGGTGTTTCAAGGAAGCTTAGGGTTACGAAATTGGGTGGGGTTGGGGAGGCATTGAGCTGGTGACATTCCAGACCCTCACCCCACTCCAACCAGAGCACCTCTGCCTTTGCCCGGTATTCAGTGAAGTTCCTCTTTAAACATACATTTCCTGGGTTGTAAAATGCACAAACCTCTCTTTAGCCAGAACTCATTTGGCACAAGAATCCTTTCTGGATGATACCTTCTGGACCTGCCCCTTGGACACAGCTTCCAGCCACATTCTTGGGGATGCCACAGGAGCCCTCCACCAGGCTCCCCCCTGACAAACCCAGGTCCCTGCACGTGCTGTGCTATGCTACTGGGGTGGTATCTGGATGTGACCCCAGCTGTGTCCCCAGCACCCGTGTCATCCCCTTCTCGAGGTTCTGATTGATTGGTTTTGGGGCACCCAGAAAAGTTTACTTTGTAAAGTTTCGCAGGGGGTTGGAAAGAGCAGGTCAGACACCTGTGCTGCCTACAGCAGCCATGGCCTCCACTCCCTGCAAAGCTCCCATTCAGCCCCCAACTATCCTGGGCAGACTAGTGTCACTGATTTTGCCCCAAGTTTTAGTTCTTCAGACAGCAGGGCTCTCAAGAATTAGAACCCGGGCCTCCCCAGTGGCGCAGCGGTTGAGCGCTGGGTTGCGAAGCTGCCCACAGCCTCTGCAGCGCTGGTTCCATCCCTGGCCACTGGAGACCTCTCCTGCCTCCCTCTGCTCCCCTCAGCAGTGTACTTCGCCAGTCTGTCTGTTCTGTTCCCCGCTCTGGCTCTCGTGAATTCTCTCACCCTCCCACGCTTCTGACTGTACCCAGTGCTTGTATGAATAAATAAATTAATCTTAACAAAAAAAAAAATTAGAACTCATGGGAACTGTGGATCAGAACCAGGTGGCCAGAGGGGAGCCTGGCCAGTTCAAGGGGTTGTTAGAAGGCAGACCCTGGGCCACCTCACACCTGCCAGAGACCCCCCAGATGTGTGGCCTGGGAATCTCAGCAAGTTTCCCAGGAGGCGTTGCTGAGCCCAACTCCCTCCACAGCCTGCAAAGAGGAGGGAAACAGGAACAAATGTGAAAATGACTAGTCACTAGACATTTTGTGACAAAACTGGCTGTAGACCGACTCCCCCTCTGTGCAGGACTCAACCCCAGGCTTTCCCTGCCACCCATGGTGCTGAGCCAGCCATCTGAGCCCCATTAAGGCTCTCTCAAGGGTGAAGTCCTTGCTATTCAGAAAAGCTTCAGCTTATAAACCATGGACAGGGCCTGTGCCTTAACCAAGACACTGTGTGCATGTGCATGTTGATATGTATGGTGCATACGATGCTTGTGTGTGGTATGCGTGAGTGTGGTGTGTACTATGAAAGTAGGGTTTGTATGTGGTAGTGTGTGTATGGTGTCTGTGTGTTTTATGGGGTGGTGTGGGGAGCAGGGGTGTGGTGCATGTGCATGGGCAGGGGGTGGTCAGACTGATGTGCACACGGACGTCCCCTCTCCATCCTCCCCTGCAGGCTTTGCAAAAAGGTATGAAAGACAGACATGACCAAGGCGTACAAACAGAACCCCACTTTATTAGCAGTTAGTTCAAGATTGTACATTATTGGAGGAAGGTTCCCACTTCTGACACAACCCAAAACGGCTGTTCGAGAGCCCTGATCAGGTGAGCTGGGTAGCACCCTCTCTCCCCCCGTCCCCACCCCCACAAGGGCAGGAAACCTCTGCCTGCTCCCCTAATGTGCCCCCCACCCTCTCCGGTCAGCCCTCTCCTCTCCCCAGGAAATGACATGAATTTCATGCACAAATTACAAAAGGAGCCCTCTTGTGATAACAGAAGCTAGCAATCATAGAAAGCCCTCTCCCCCCTCGTCCTTAAGGTCAGAGAAAGAAAGGAGAGAGGGTGTGATGAAGGTATTGGGAGAAAACACAGCCAGGGTCTCCCCAGGCCCTTGACGCTGACCGTCCTGCAAAGCACATGCCCTCCCTGCTGGGAGCTGAGCAGTCTCCCGCCACCCGAGCTGGCGAGGGCAAGCCCAGGGCAATCTGGGCCCGCCTCAGGGCCAGGGGCTGTCTGGCCCTCTGTCTCACTGCCACCAGAGGAGCTTCCTTCCTTCTCTAACTTTGTTTAAAACCCTGCTGCGGCCCCAGCTGCTCCTTCCCTAAACGGGAAATTGAGCCCAGGGGGATACCTGTCCCGCAGATCCAAATGCACCCCATGGTAAGAAACCTCAGGGCTCTGACCGCCAGCCTAGTGCTCTTCTCACATCACAGTGGGGGAGTCAGCTCCCCAAAGAGGCCCTTCCATGGGGAGGCATCCCAGGGGCCTAGCTCTGCTCCCAAAAACACAGCCCCTGGGCCTTCGGAAGGGAAACCGCCCACAGAGCAGCCTGCATTCCACGGCCAGGCATGAGGGGCAGCAGGGTCTTCTAAGCGGTCCCCTCACCCCACAGCCCCGCACAGCTGGGGCAGCCTCAGGCCCACCTCCTCCTCTAGAGCCCCTTCCTCCCAGCTGCGCTGCCTCCTGGCCTCCCCCATCCCCAAGCTCCTGGGCTCGGGCCCCACCCCTCCCTGGCTTGGCACTTGGTATCCATGACAGTGGAGGAGTCTCAGGCTGCACTGCAGTTGTCGAGTCAGCACAAAAGGTAAAAAACCCACATAGCCTCAATTCCCCGTGACAAAGGGCCATGTTCTATGACACAGCGAGGACAGACACAACCCGGAGGGCGAGGTCTCCAGCAGGCGGCCCGCTAGCTCCCTCTCACACCACGAGGAAACTGAGCAGACTCCATCTCAGCACAACTGGCAAACAGTTCTTGCGTTCTGGTGTACATTGTTTTTACTCAATATAAATAGTAATGCTGATTTATTTTTTAAAAATCAAAGTGAGCAGAAGAGGAATCTTCAGCATCCAAGGAGATTTTTAAAAAGAGTTACAAAATGCAGCCTGTGCACCTTGACTGGATCCTGATTCCAAAACCAGGCTATGAGTTATTTGGAGGGTGCGAAATCTGAATACAGATGGAATAGTAGATATTAACGACTTGGGTGTGACATTTGGCCACTATGTAGGAGAAAACTCCTTAACTCTCAGGAGACACGGGCTGGCACATTTTAGAATCAAGTCTGATAAGATATATGTACCTGTGTTTGTGTACATATATATAAATATATATATATATATAAAAAGTTTTTGGCCAACCGCTTATAGTGCATTGGTGACCTCTGAAGACGCTGCCACACCCACTGACCCCTGGTTTTCTCCTGTGAAGGGCACCTGTGTGCTCAACCGCGGAGAGCCCCAAAGGGGGCATCTCTCTCTCTTCCTCCCAATACCTGCAGGTCCAAACAGTGGGTGACCAACAGAGACTGGGTAGTGGGAAGGGGTGAAGAAGCCGTTAAGGACACATTAAGGATGTGTGGCAGGTGAAGTCCCAGCCCCCCAGATAGGCCTGGACGAAAGTCCCCAGTATCTTCTGTTTCCCCAGGGTTTAAAACTTGCCTGCTCCTTCCTTGGGCCAGAGGCAGAGAGCTGCCTGCACCAGGCATCCAGCCCAGAGTGCAGAATTCAGAACAAGGAGTGCTGGGCCCTCATGGGTCACACAGCCCGGCACCTCGCTGACAGGTGGGCAGAGGCCTGGTATCTGCACCAGGGGTTGCCCACTCAGGAGTCAGTTTCCATAGTGCAGGCAGGTCTTCACGAGTGTGCAAGGAGGCATGCACCCCCCTCCCAGACACTGGGAGCCCCATTCCTTGTGGGCTGACCTCGCCCAGGGTTCCTAGGCTTGACAGCCCTGCTGGGAGGCACTACATACAAGACCCCTTCTCCCACAGACGGTGAGACCATAGGAAGCCGATCCCGTTGAGCATCCAACTTTCCTCTCCATCCCAGCGGAGAATGTGGGAAAGGGAATTGGTTCAGAACTAAGACAGATCCAGGCCCTGCAGTTTGGAAAGGACCTTTGAGGCAGAAGAGCAAGACAGGGATGTAAATGCAGATCTGGAGCTGAGAAGGCTCGAAGGCACCCTGGCTAGCAAGGAGTGGTTTGTCCCCATATCCTGGAATGACCAAGGGTGTGACCGAGGGAGGGGCAGGAACCTGGCACAGGTGGGGTCCCAAAGACGGGCTCAGAGGCAGTGTGGCATTGGAAGAAGAGCACTGGACTCAGACTTGGAAGTCTCAGGTTCAATTCTTGGCCTGCTCCCGACCAGCTCCATGATGGCAGCCCAGGCAGCCACCTCCTCTTTCTGGACCTGTTTCCAAACCTGTCAGAGGACCCTTCCAGCCCCAAGATGCTAGAGCTTCTGAACAAGACAAGGTTCTCCAGACAGGATTCCCTGGGTGTCAGTTCGAACCTGAACTGGCGATGGGAGGGGGCTGGGGAGAGGCACCCCAGCCTTACTACTTCACATTGTTAAAAAGAGGGAAGGAGCACACCCCAACCAGAAAATAGCCCCGAGACCCTGCTGTCTACAGGGCAGCCTGGAGCAGCCGTATGGGTCTCGGTAGGCCTCCCAGTGCCCGGGCAGCTCCCAACCTAGCACCATGTGAGGGGAGGGGGACAGGCCAGCTGTGGGCCCGCGGTCCTACCCCAGCCTGGCTGTTTCCTTTGGCCAAAATTGCCCCAGGGTCCCTGGGCTTCATGAAGCCTCATTTCCTGGAGAAAGTAGTCTGCCCTGTGCGCCTCATCGCCTCTGTTCACCTGGGGCAGCCCCAGGACAGCCACGGCACTTGGGAGAGGGACGGAGGTCTCCAGAGGGCCGCTCCACACGGCCTCCAGAGACACACAGAGAGACACCTCCCCACCTTTCCACCTCCCGCTCCAGCGCTGCCACCATTTGTACAACTGAATTAAAAACAAACCCAACCAAAAAAATATAATATATATATATACACGTTATATATGTAAGTGTATATATGCAGATATACACACTCACACATATATATATATATAAAACACAGTGCGACCCCAGCACCCAGGGTATAAACTCTGGCACCAGAAAAAAAAATATTAAAATACTTTAGCTTCTTAGTATTGGGGAGGTTAGGGGGGTCTCCAGGAGCCCTTGGCCACAGGTAGCTGGGGCACAGCAGTGGAAGGAGTCTCATCCGCTCTGCCCAGCGCCGTGGGGGCCACGGCCGGGGTCCTGGGGACACGTATGTACATTGGAACGTGTATACCGGCAGACTCCTGAACCGCCTAAGTCTTTTACCACAGGAAACACCACTCACGTCGTATTCCAAGGTGAAGAAGGGGGCAGGGTGGAGGCCTGGGTCTCTAGGTCCAAATGACATGGCAGTACCCCAGGACGGGGTGGATACTGTAGGAACCAATGACACTTTCCCCAGAAAGGAAGGTGAGGTGTGCAGGTGTGAGCCAGAGTGTGTGTTCAGGTTTGACCTTTTTGGGAGGTGGCCACCCTCTCGGCCAATCTGGTGACTGTCCCTGGGCATCCAGCTGACCCCTCCAAAGGGTCCGACTCGAAATAGTCAGGGAAATGTCCAGTCTCACTCCCTGGTTTGGCAAAAGACCCAGCCGGGCTTCACTCCCTTGTTGTCTGGAGGACAGGGAAAATATGGCAGCTAATACTGAGGGAAACCCTGCCAGGGCAGGGGACAATGGGATGAAGGGGAGCGTGAGGTTGGCAGAGCACAGTGAGGGACAGAAGAGTCTCACGGATGTCCTCCTACCAGGAAGTGACCTTCCACCAACAGGAAGTGGCCGCCCATGAAAGGCTGTGAACGGAACGGACCTCTGGGGGGTCCCACTAGCCGCAGGCTCAACACTGGATGACTGGAAGCGCTCGTGGCCCTGCCTGGCCTCCTCTCCCGGCCCTGCCCGGGCCTTAGGGAGTATTGCTCATAAGCGCTCGGCCAGCCCAGACCCGGCTCCCCACTCTGCAGGTCAGTCTGGCTCAGCGTGCGACGGGACATCCCTGCCATCACAAGCATTCCTCTGGTTGTGGTAGCCATGGCTACCTGGTGTTCTGGAGGTCCTCCCGCAGCCAGGTGGGCAGCGTCTGGCCCATCTTGTACAGCAGCTTTGAAAGCTCAACATTGTGGTCCCGGTAATAGTCCTTTAGGAAGGTGCGGGACTGTAATGGGAAGAAAAAGTTGACATTGTCATGTGCTGGGTTGGGAGAGACCCTCCTCTTTAAACCCACCATCCTGTTGGCATCAGCCCATACACCTGTTAGTAGTACTACCTCTGTCAAAGTGAGAGCCTCCAAAAGAAAAGTTTCCTACGCAGGAGAACCACCAAATTCTTGTGAGAGGGAGAAAAGAGAATTCATCAAAACCGGAGCCAACGGGGAAAGGAAAGCTTGAGAGTCACTGTGTGTGCCGTCACCCCGTGTTCTCAGCACCTTCTTGCCCACAAGAACCTTCTCTTCATCACATGGGCCCAAATGCACCCCAGAGACCCCTCCTCACTCCAGCTTCAAGTAGCACCCCCCATGCTAACTCCTCGGCACTGCACACACCTCTCCCTGCTCTGGCACTTGGTGCCTCACAGCTACTCCCCACTGTAGGGGCCCACCCCCTCCTAGACTAGGAGCCCCCTGAAGGCACAGAGCATCTCTCATCATCTTGAGAGCCCCGGAGTGCTCAGCCCTCAGCAGGAGATAAATACCCATCTGACTGCATCAGTTCTGTCCTGCTGTCTCCTGGCCCATCTTTCCACAGGTTCCAGAAACGCCAAGGCCGTTATCACTCTGAGAGGAGGGTGAGGTAGAGCAAGATGCCCCCAGTATAGGGATCCCTGCATCTACCCAGCAACCCTAGGTCAAGTACACGCCACTTACATCCAAGTCCATCTCAGGGTACTTCCGACCCTTGCTTTTGCCCAGACACTTGGTTTTTCCTCCTTCAAGCAGTTGGCACCAAAATCCTTTCTTTGGATCGAACCTGTGGAGGGGGGTAATGTGTGTGGGTGGGAGCTGGGCCTGGCACATTCCTTCCCATCAACTTCCGCAGAGCCCAGGAGACTCCCAAGTGCATCCCTCCACTCTGGTGCCACCTGTATGTGAGGCCTGTGATTTGCCCCAGATTCCACTAACCACGCCCACCCTTCTTCCCAGCAGGGGGCAGCTCTTGTCCCTGAGCCCCCACTTCTCCCACCCACCCCAAGTGGGGGCACTTGTCCCTCCTACTGTGGTGGGAAGCCTCTTCTGAGCATTTACCAATTCAGGGGTGAGCACCATTTTTCTTACCCAAGAACCCAGGGGGTTGGAGTGCGGGCAGGGGGGAGCGTGGTGGAGGTCCTTTTGTTTTTTAATAAATTATTTATTTTTCAAAAAACGCAGTACCTGCAGCTGCACTTAAGTATGTCCGTCACCACAGAGTTTCATTTTGGGAAGTAAATTTCACCATGATAGTGCAAGACTGCCTTTAGTTTTCAAAGTCATGCTGGGCCTTTAAAGACATTTGGGGGAAATAAGATCTGAAGCTGACGTGGGGCGGGGGGGGGGAGGTAGGCATTTGGAATGCAGAATTCAGTCCCATATGAGGAGCCATTAGGAGATTCCTGGGCATGAAGGCATCAGGAAAGATGTGTGTAGCAGCTGAGGAAGACGGGGTTTCTGCATGGGACGCACAGGGCAGGCACAGGTGGAGGTGGTGACCGCGAGGGTGTGGTGGTGGCAGCTATTACTCAGCATCAGCCTTTGCCAGGCACCGAGCCAGAGCTGCAAGGCATGCCTTCATTCAATGCAGTAGCTCTCAAGGTCTAAATTATCCCCAACTTACAGCTGAGAAAAGTGAGGCTTGAAGGAATTAAGATACTTGTCCAAGGTCACAAAGAAAGATCTGGGTCCCACCCCCAGAAGTCTCTGAGGCTATAACCCACACTTTGAGCTCATTTCTGCCTAGAGGTGAGAAACAATGACTTCCCTCTTCTATCTTCAGTTTCCAAGACAGTGAGAACATTCCTGTTGTAAGGTTTTCCAAGAAGGTGGCCATTTGAGGTGACTTTATTCCTCCCTCTCTTGAGACCGCCCTCACACAGCTGAGTGGGTGACGTGCCTTGAATGGCAGCCTTTCCCCAGCCCTGAGCCCCTACGATACAACCTGGCACTTACCCATCTTGAGAGGGCACTTTTGTGGTTATATATAAAGTCATAATCTAAGAGTAAGAAACTTTTGTTTGTGGGAATTAGGACCACTCATTGCTGGTTTACCTTACTTAGATTAAACATTCAGAAAATATTCAGCTCAGACTGAAAGGAATACCCAGGGGTGGGACTGACCTGAGTGAAACAGACTCATCGCCTCCTTTTCTCTTGAGTTAATACCTTTACATGACTCAAGTCATATTAATATTTGTTTTTCTACTAAACTGCCGTTGGAGACACACATACTTTCTCACATTTGCTGACTCTTAATTAATCTCTGTCTCTTTCATAATCATTCCAGCCTTGGGCCTTTGGGCCCAGCTGCATGATCAGGAAAATCCCCATTGAGGGCCTCCACGGTGGCGCAGTGGGTTGAGCGCCACGCTGTGAAGCTGTCCACAGCTGCTGCAGCGCAGGTTCAATTCTCTGCCTGCCAGGGAGATGCCCACATGGCGCAGCAGACCTCTCCTGCCCCGCCTGCTGCTCCCCTCAGCAGTGTATTTTGGTCAGTCTGTCTGTTCTGCTCCCCACTCTGTCTCTGGTGAATCCTCTCACCCTACTGCACCTCTGGCCTGGACCCCAGCTCTTGTATAAAAATAAATAAATCTTAAAAAAAAAAAAAAAAAAAGAAAAAGAAAATCCCCACTGAAAGACCAAGGCAACACTCACGCCAAGGTTTTGTGGTAATCAATGGTGTTAGTCACCCCAAGGAACTTTTGCACTGTGTCCATCACTTTGGCAGGTTCTGTTCGCAGCAGCTTGCCATCCAAGACTAGAATCTGGCAAAAAAGGGAAGGGAGAAGGGGGTCACTCCAGTGGCAAATCAACCCCAACCTTCTGGGCCAGCAGCCCCATCAGCAGGTGGAACTGGTAACAAAATGGGGACCCTGAAATTCTCTGGCATCTGCTTTCTTCTTCCCCTCTGGATGGTAGGAACCCCCAAGCCTCAGATTATCTCTCTGCCCTGTGGCAGCTGCCTCTGATCAGTGCAGCCTCACTTGGAGTTGAGACCACCAAAACCCTGCCCATCCCTCTATCTCCAGGACATCCCTCTCAGGCTTTCTGCCAAACTTCTGGCCCAAACGTCATTCTCCTTAAATCCTCCAAGATGTTCCCTGCCTAGATGTTCCCTGTGATCTGGCCCTTCCTATCTTTCCAACCAAGCTCTTTCCCTTCCCAGGGTTCTCTGGGTCTCCTTGGAGACAACAGAACCTGCTGGGGTGGTACAAGAACCTAGGAAATTCTCACATATTAACCTAGGGTGAACAAGACTGAAACTTTGGAAGGTCCCGAAGGTCTAACTCACCGATGACAGCATTTCTGGCCCTATGACAGGTGGAAGAAATTTTGGGGCTCTCTCTAAGCACACAAGCCAGGACAGGCAGCTACCTGGTTGGCATGGAAGGCGCTGAGCCAGCGCTCGATGTGGACGGCGTAACAGCCAGGGACCAGGCAGCGGTTCTGCAGGGCACGGAGCTTTGGAGATGCATCAGGCCCCGCTGTGATCACCTCATGGAACGTGTACTTCAGAGCCACTGGGTCATCGTGGGCTCTCTGATGCTGCAGGCAGAGCAGGGAGCAGAGGGTCAACATGTCCCAGGAGGGTGCAAAGGAGGAGACTTTCTGGGAACTTTCTAGGACGGAGGTGGTCATGGACCCTGGGCAGGAACCAAGAGCCTGTGATTGAGCCCTGGCTCTGTCTCTCATTGCTGTGTGGTCTCAGGGAAGTCACTGGTCCCCCTGACTCCCAGTTTCCCCATTGTTGGGAGATAGGAATTACACAAAATCAGTTTCCAAATGCCAGTCATTTGCTTACAATCTCTGTGGTTGCTGCTACATCCACTAACTACCTGTATGTGCCAATATCAACACAATTCTCGCGACACTGACTCATCTTTCTTACTCAGAACAATTTATTTCAAAATAAAACTTACTATTGCCTCCATAAATGAAAAGCTAAAAATCCACTGTCATATACACAGAAGATAAACATTCGTAAAAAGAGACAACAAAAAATAAAGCATGTTCTCAAACACCGCCAGACACAGACACCTGCCACAGGTCCTATACCCCAAGCTTATACTCCCTTTGCTGAAAACAGACCGAGCACTGTTAGAAGGGTCTTGAAAGCCATTTACAACAACCTGGGAATTTCTGCTTCACAGAATCAGGTGTTACACACTAAATGTTTGTCTCGCCTTTCACATTCCTACGTTGAAGCCCTAGATGCCCCTAGTGTGACAGCATTTGAGTGGCACTTGGTAGGTAATAAGGTTTTAGATGAGGTAGGGCCCTCACTATGGGGTCCCTTCCCTTACAGAAGGGACTCCAGAGAAGCCACACTCTCTGCCCACCACGGACACAGTGAGAGAGGCTCTGAAAGCCAGGGTGAGAGCTCCCACCAGGAACCAAACCAGCAGGCACCTTGACCTTGACCTTGGACATCTAGCCTTCAGAACTATGAGAAATAAATGTCGGTTGTTTAAGCTACTCACTTGGTGATATTTTGTTATGGCAGCCCTAGCAGACCAAGAGAAGGGTTGGGAAAGAACTAGAAAGGTAGGGGGCTTCCCTAGTGGCACAAGGGGTTAAGTCTCAGCATTATCAAGTGATCGCCAGCCACTGCAGCATGAGTTCGATCCCCGGCCAGGAAGGTGACCCACATGGCGCAGCAGACCTCTCCTGTCTCGCCCGCTGCTCCCCTCAGCAGTGCATTTCAGCAGATCCACCTGTTCTGCTCTCTGCTCTGTCTCTGGTGAATCCTCTCACCCCCACCCCCACCTGTAGCCTACACCCCAATTCTTGTATGTATAAATAAATAAAAACAAATATAAAAAAAACTAGAAAAATAAATACTCCAGGTGTGAAATTACCTAAAATAATTCCATGGGCACTGGCACCTGTAGAATTCCCGAAGTCCAGAGAGCAGAAACCTGCCCACCAGAGGTAACCCTCAGCAGCCTCCACACCCCCACCAAGGCTCACACACAGCTGGGGGTTGGGACCATGTGGTGCGTAACAGCCTCCCACCCCACACACCCCAACCCCCACCAGGACAGGCGACTGTCCTTCCTCCCTTCCAGTGCCTTCCTGGTCCCTCCTGGTGGGAATTACTCTCCCTTCTTCAGAATAGGGTCTAGACATTAAAGACATGGGTTCAAAAAACCTGCACATGAACTTGAAATGGTCACGGGATTTGCTGAGCCTTGGTTTGTTCTTTTTCTGACCCTGTGAGAAGGGTCCCCCTGCCTTCTAAAGAACTGTGTGGACGCCAGTGAGGGGGCAGAGGCGGGGCAGTATCATCAGGATAGATGGGGGACAGACTCCACCATGACAGCCTCCCCCCATATAGGCAGATAACTGGTCCACGCTCACTGCCAGGAGGTGGGGGCACAAGGGAAGAGAAAAGGCATCTGTAAGTGTTGCTGGCTTTCTTCTCCCAGAGACAAAATCTAGAAGAATGACATTAGTGGTAGACAACAAGCGAGAGGAAGAGGGGCACTATGGCTTGGGAACGGGAGCTAAGATGGTCTGCATGTAGCCTACCTCCCACTGGCCCTGAGGAGGCAGCATGGCGCCCCCAAGAGAAAAGGGACATTGAATGAACAGGATCCAGGGATGGCACAGAGCTGCTGTAAGCAGTCAGGCCCCCAGCCATCCCAGGCCAGGGATCCCAAGTCCCACACTGGCGGGTAACCCAGGAAGACTGGTGGGCAGGGGAAGAATCCCCCAAAAGGCTGGAGCCGAAGCTTTCCTGTAAGATCAATGAAATGGCACTTGAGAGAAGTGAAGGCGGGGCACCAGAATGAAAAGATAGTCTAGTTCTTCCACCATAGGGCCCTGACTCTCCTCTCCCGTGGCAGTCAACCTCCTCACCTGAGCAAGGGAGTGACAGGCCCCCCTCTGAATTCCCACCCCACCCAGGGCCCCAGGGAGACGGCCAGTTAGCATGGGCCTGGGTCACTGTGTGCGGAATCTAGGTCTCATCACAGTGGAACCAATCCCTGCCTCTTGTTGATGTGAGAATTAGAGGCAGGACCCCTAGAAGAAGTGAGGAGGCAGGTGAGTATTGGGAGTGCTTGGTGTGGATTCCTGCCTGTCTCCTCACCAGGCTAGGAACAGTGTGGAGGACTCCATGCTGACCCACAATGGCATTCAGGGCACCCAGCTTAAGGCTGTCCACAGCAGATGCTTAGGAAACACTTAATGAATACGTGAACAGCTGAGTGGCAGGGCCCTATGCCCCCACCCAGGGCCCCAGCCCAACCCCAGCTCACCTGGTACCAGGAATAGGCCCGGTCGGCGGGGTTGATGAGAATGGTCAGGACCTTGGCCTTGGGCAGCAGTGCAGCTGCCCGCCGGGGTGCCATTTCTGAATCAAAGTAGTTGGCGCTTTTCTCAAAGTAGAAATCAGAGGTGGTGTTGGAGGGGATAGGGAAAAACTCCATGTACCTGCAGAAAGCCCAGAGAGGGAGGCTCACAGGTTAGACTCATGAGCACCCAAGGAACACAGCAGGGAGGACAAGGGCCCTGGGGGGGAACTTCAGAAAGCAAGCAGAGCACAGGCTCCCAGCCAAACAGGTCCCACTCATGTGGGCTTCTACACGAGGCACTTAGCATCTCCTTTCTTGGAATCCAGTCTCTTACAAGGAAGACCAGGGGGCCCTGAGAGGTACAGACTTTGGGGGTGATAGGAGTTGAGAGGCAAAGGAAGGGGTTGTCTCTCCAACCTCAGTGGGCTACTCCCAGTTAAACTGAGAGGGCCTAGCTCTGTCTCGAGGGGATGAACTAGGACTGGGATCAGCTCCACTCTGACCTGGGAGGGGAGTGGCCGCAGAAGGGGGACAGCCTTCCACCTCCCAAGCACAGGACTCCTTTCCTGACTCAGTGTGGCATTTTCTAGGCTCCCATTGTGGCTCAGTAGACCAAGGGGGGGCGTTGCCACCTGGCACAGGTCCCACTGATGTGGGCTTCTACACAAGGCCACTTGGCATCTCCTTTTTTGGAATCCAGTCTCTTACAGAGAAGACCAGGGGGCTTGGTGACAAAGATACCAAGCTTGGTGAACTGCCAAGCTTTCCAGATGACAAAGCTTGGTGAACTGCCAAGCTTTCCAGATGACTCACCCATCCCACCCGGAGTGATCACCCACACCAGTCCTTTTCAACCACCTCTGAGTTGACGGCCCCTCAAACCCTGCCCTGAGCACCTACTCATGCACAAGAGAGGTACAACTTTGGAGGTTCTGGGGAACCAAAGGCCACAAGGCCCACCCAAGTTATGGGTATAGGATTCCTACACTGTCCTGGGAGACAGAGTTTCTCCAGGATGCAACCAGACCCCCTATATCAGAATCACCTGGGGATTTGTGAGATTCCTCAACCTCACCTGAGACCTACCACAAAATTAAAATCTTGGAAACTGGGCTGAGGAATTGCTACCCCTCTAAGTTTTCTGGATTTTCTTTATAAAATAACATCTGTATATCCACAATACATAGTTTGCAATACCTAAGCTGAAAGAAATTCCAAAAACAGCACCTTCTTCCTCACATTTATAAGCATTGTCATCTAGTAGCAAAATTTGACTGATTAATCTTGGTGTAAATCTTCACAGTTTTTGCTAGGTATGTTAATATATTTGCTACTGGGGTGCTCCCCCGGCCCTGCAGCAGGTGTTGGTAAGTGTATTATGCTGCACCCTATTACTGCTCTAACAGTCAAAATATGCTGACTTCCAGTAACACATTGGCTACAGTGGGTTTTAAGTAAGAGCCTATGGACATATTAGTGTTATAGATTAGACAGACAGATAGATGGGTTAAAAGACAGACAGGAGAGAAAAAAATACACACAAGAAAAATATGCAAAAACTACAAAAGAATATTCTACCTCGGTAAACCACTGACACAAAAATAAGAAACAAAAGTAACACATATGTAAGGTTAGAAAAGACAAATAGCAGAGAAGGATATAAGCTGAAAAATGGGGGAGTGAAAAATCCCTGTTCTGGCTCCTCATGCCCAGGCACCTCTGTTGGCAGGTCCTGGAGGGAAGCTGCAAGTTCACACACTACCCACCACCCCTGCCCCATCCATGCACAGGACAGGGAGAGGCCTCCCCAGGACCCACAGGAACAACCTGCTCAATGTAAGCCAAGCACAGCGGGAAGGGGTTGCTCCTGGGTCAGAACTTTTGGAGTTAGTCCCTGCTCTGTCCTCAGTTCTCAGGGCCAGCGGCAAGTCCCTGTCCTCCTCTGGGACTCCAGATGTTTCTGTGCAGTCCAGACAGGGGCTAGACTCTGACTTCAAGCAGCCTCTGACTCCAGGCAACAATGCAAAGGGGCAAAGGCCTTCCTCATCAAGTGCCCTGTCTGTGATGAGGCTTCCACTCCATGACTCAAAAGTCAACACACTTTATCCCTGTTTACAGGAACTTCAGTTGCATGTTGAGTGAACACCAGCTGCTTCCTGCTGTGACCCACGCAGAACTCCCCCGGGGCGGGTTCTGCAACAGTCTTCCCATCCCGCAGTAGATGAAACTCACCAGTCGATGCCTTTGTGATAGTTGTGGCCATTAAAAAACTGGATTTCCTCAAATGTCTCGGTGCTAGGGTAGTTGCTGCTGAGGTCAGGGTGCATGCCCAGGAACAGGTAGAGGGCTGTGGTGCCTGCAGGACAGAAGGCAGCTGAGCACAAAGATGGAGTCTTGAAGTCCTAGGTTCTGCTCCTAGCTTTCCAGTACTCACTGAGAGACCCTGGGCAAGTCCCTAGCTTCTTTTTTTTTTTTTTTTAAAGATTTATTTATTCATGCATACAAGAACTGAGGCATAGGCCAGAGGTGTGGGGGCTGAGAGGATTCACCAGAGACAGAGTGGGGAACACAACAGGCAGATTAACTGAAATACACTGCTGAGGGGATGAGCGGGTGAGACAGGAGAGGTCTGCTGTGCCGTCCCTGCCTTCTGAGGCTTAGTTTCCTCATCCATACGATGAAGGAATTATAATAAACCCGGGGTGGCAAATACACGGTGTTTGTGTGGACACTTCAACTTCTACACTCAGTGCAGACATCACTAATCAATCACAGCACTTTTCATCACTAAACAAGGACGTGGCCTTACAATGCTTCTCAGCACCATACTCCAGCAGCCACATTACCGACCTGTGTCTCCTCAAACTCCTGACTTGTGTCTCTTCACACTTGCTTCCAGCTCAGAGCCTCTGTCCTCTCTAAAACTCAAGTGGAGTTTGGAGAAAAGGGAGCTCCAGACCCTCCTGTCATTTGTTGTGGAATTCTTGAAGGGCTAAGAGATGTAGCTCAAATGCCTCCTCTTCTGAGGTCTTTCCCTCACTCACACCCCTTGCCCTATCTGACAGCTCAGGCCACACCTCTCCCTTAGGAGGCTCCTTTCTTGCATGTGAGCCTGACTTATTTATATGCTACAGTGAATGACAGAAGGCAGCTGAGCACAAAGATGGAGTCTGAAGTCCTAGGTTCTGCTCCTAGCTTTCCAGTACTCACTGAGAGACCCTGGGCAAGTCCCTATCTTCTTCTTCTTTTTTTAAAGATTTATTTATTTATGCATACAAGAGTATGCATAGTAGAGCATAGTAGAGTTTGCTAATTACAAGTATAAGCTTTGGGTTCATACAGACTGGGATTCAACACCTGGATCTGCCAGTTATTAGGGGAAGTCCTTACCTGCTCTTAGTTTTTATCTGCAATGGCAGTACCTATTCCTGCCTTATAGGGTGTGAGATTGGCAAATACTTTGCAACCAAGTCACCACTTCTCCCACCCACGCCTCTGGCAGACAAGATTAATTGATCATGGTTCTCCACATGGAACCAGTTTTGCCTGGCACTGCTCAGACCTGCCGAGTAGCTGCTCTGGGCCTCCTGCCCAGATGAGGACACAGGTAGTGCCCCCTGAGGCTATAGTTCAGACAGAATTCTATGCCCACTCTCCACCCCTTCCCACCTATGTACTCCAACTTTACCGCCACTTCCTGGGGGAGGTGGACAATGATTAGGGAGTGGACCCAGGGTCAGGTGGCCCCAGAATTCTGGGCTGAGACTGTAGGCGATGGAGGCCAGTCACAGTGGAGGGACCTGCCTGTTTTCTGGGGGCCAATGATGAGGAGCTTTGGGAAGCGGTCACATGTCTTCTCCTTAGACCAGATGTCTTTATGGCGCTTGTCCTCACATGGGTCCTAAAACAACAGTAGAAGGAAAGTCAGGGAAGCCAAGATCCAATAAATGAACTCCAGTACACATGGACATGTGGCGCTTAAGCCCTGACAGGCACATAACTACACATGTCCCTGTCACATCCCCGCCTCAGCGGTAAATAGTTTAGGCTTAGGTACTACCGAGTTACTATAGCCAACTTAACAATGGTTCAACTTAGAATTTTTTGACTTTATGATGGTGTAAAAATCATATGCATTGAGAAGAAGTAGAACTTCAAATTTTGAATTAAAGCATTGCCTTTAACTTCTAGTATAGTATTCAGTAAATTACATGAAATAGTCAACACTGTATTATAAAGTAGGTTTTGTATTAGATGATGTTACCCAGATATATAAGCAATTTAAGTGTTCAGAGCACATTTAAGGTAGGCGAGGTTAAGCTCTGATGTCCTGTAGGTTAGACATATTAAATGCATTTTCAATTTGCAGTAATTTCAATTTATGATGAGCTTGTCGTGACATAACCCTATCATAAGTCTAGAAAGATCTGACAGTGGAGTCACATGCCGCAAGCAGACCACATTCATACCTACTTCCAATCTTTGACCGCCCCCATGGTCAGACACACCCAAGAATGGGCCCTAACCCTCCCTGTCCATGGCTCAGATTCTGCAAGAGATAGGGGGATGCAGAAGCTGGCCTGGAGTCTAAACAAGGCCCAGCAGCTGCCTTCTCCATGTACCTACACCACATTCACTGACAATTTTCAATAGTGCTTTTTTGGAGACTATGCAGGAACATGCATGTGATGCCCAGGGTGGAGGTGTGTGTGTGTGTGTGTGCATAAGAACCGTAATGAGTGTGCCCAAGCTGGTGAGCCAATGTTTACCCCTAAGTCTACCCTCAAGAGCGAGTCCCAGGTGGGAGGGCCACGCCCATGTCTGGAGTACTGGGCAATCCATCCCAGCTTCCAGGCCCCCATGCCCCTACACCCACCTGCCAGAGAGGGTCCTTCTCCTCTGAGAAGATCTGGAAGTACTTCTGAGCCAGCTGCACAGGGGGTAGTGTCTGCAGCCGGAGGTTGGTCCAGGAGTGCAGGAAGCGCACCAGGTGCTTGAAGGTGTACAGGCCCAGGCGGTCGTTGCCGTAATTGGACAGGTGCGTCATGAAGATGCTGATCTGCACCAGGGTGGGGGTGGGAGGCAGGGGTTGCTCGGCTTCAGAGTCACCTTCACCCCACTTCCCACCCTTCAGCTTGCAGGGCCCTCAGATGACCAGTCCAAGGTTCACCTGGGTCATCAAAGTCATGGCATGACCCAGGTGGGGCAGGGGCAGCAGAGGCGGGTCTGCCAGCCAGGGCTATCACAGCCCGGAATGGGAAGCTGCCCTGAAACACAGCGATTTGGGTGTTCTCTAGGGTTTTGGCAAAAGGGGCGGGAGCTGGTGCATGGAAGATAAGGAGCACAAAGTGACTGCAAAGCTGAATAACACCATTTGATATCTAGTTAATATCATTAAAGCATGAATGACTATTCTCATTTTATAGACAAAGAAAGAGGCCCAAAAAGCTCAACTAATAGCTTAAAATGTGTGTGAGTATATATATTTATATATAAAGTTTAATATATTGTACCTTAAAATACTAATAGTATATTAGTAGATATTGATCTGTAATATTAACATACACCTTCACATATGAATATTCATTATGTGTGCATACATACATATATTGTACACACACACAATGATAGCCCATAATACATACAACATATAAAGACTGGAAAAAGAATCCAGACACAAATACTAACGTTACTGTAATGAAGAGCAAGATTATGAAGGGAGAAAGATAGCTCAGATTCTATCCAAATCATGCAACAGAGGAGTGACAAAGCCAGGCCTGGAAGGTGGGCTTCCTACCCCCTGGAAGGCCCCCACCCTGCCTTGGCTGCACATGGGCTGTCCCAGCCCCCCACAGCACCAGTTGGGGCTGGAGTACTCACAGGGTTGAGAAGCACAGTGAGGAAGAGCTCGCCCCCATTGATGATCTTGTCCAGCTCACCAGAGCCCCCTGGGTACTCGTTGTAGAAGATGGTGTGTGTGAAGAGGCCACAAGTCTGCCGTGGGAGGACCTGGAGAGGGAGTGGGAGGACAGAGCAGTGGCATACCCAGGCCTGGATCATGGCAGGGAGACCCTTCCTCAGAGAACAACCAGGGGTCTCCTCTAAGAGATGGCCTCCCTTGGGGCTGCACAGCCCCAGCACCGAGGGTCTTTGGCCTAGACAGGGGCCCATGAGCCCAGAGGCCCACTGCATGTACTCCACTGCTAGTCTTTGTACAAAGGAACAGAGGAAGAGACAGGCAGGGACACCTGGACTGTCTGCCCAGCTAGGGTGCTGGCCCTCTCTAAGCAGCACCTCCAGCCCTGCTCTGCAACGGCTCTCACAGCATCAGCGCCCGGCCTGCCAGCCCTCCTGGGCATGCCCCAATTGAACTGCTTGCTTCCCTGTCTCTTCTCATGAAACTGGGCCCCAGAGAGCAGGGAACGCGCCTTCCCTGTCAGACCCTCATCCTGGAAGGAAAACAAGCACCTCATACTAAAGAGGATGCATGGATGGACGGACAGACTAAGAAGTAAATGCATCAGACCTGGCCTTCCCACGGTTGCCTCCTTCAGGTGATGATAACTCATCCTCCCAGGGGCTCAAGCCAGAACCTTGGAGCCATCCTCAACTCGTTTCTCCCCTTCACCCTACATCCAACTCATGGACAGACAGATTCTGTTGGCTCTAACTCTTAAGTAAGTGAAGGATCTGATCACGTCCCCACACCACATCTTGCCCTCAGCCACTGTCACCTCTGAACACTGCACCGGCCTCCTAACTGAGCTCGCTGCTTCTTGCCTTGTCCCGAAGAGTCTGCCCCACACAGCAACCAGAATGATGGCAACCCATTAAAAACACGAGTCAGGTCACAACATGTTATTCAAAACCTCCCATCTGAGACTAAAAGCTACAGTCCAATAGCTTTACATGGCCACGCACAACCTGGCCCACCCTCCTTGGCCTTCTTTCCCACAGCCTCCTGTGCACACGCTCTACTCCAGCCTGACGGTCCACTTAGCTGGTCCTCAAATGCTCCCCGCACCAGCCTACCTCCAGGCCTTTGCACTTGTTTCTCTGCCTTGAATGCTCTTCCTCACAGAGCAGCATGGCTCATCCCCAAGAAGGGCCCCCAACCACCTCAAAGCAACTCCTCTTCCCAGGCACGTCTCTCCTCTGCTGGCACTTAGCACCACTGGACCGCTACACACTTTGCACAATTAAGAATACACACTGTCTCCTGCCCTGGAATGTCCAATCTGCAAGAGCAGGGATTGTGTTGGTTTTGTGCACCTTTGCATTCCCAGTGCCGAAAAAAGGGACAGACACAGAAGAAGTCCATGAATACTGTTTAAATAAGCAAACAAATGACTGGCACAGAAACCCCTTTAGAGAATGCTCATTCTATCACCAAAGCTCAGAAGGAGCTCATGAGATGGGCATGTCGCCTGGCAGCCACCTTCCCTGTGACAGAGCTTCAGATGCCACAGCGGACAGCAGAGACAGCCCTGAAGTCCCTAACCAGCTCACTGATGCCATGCTTCCCAGGGCAACAAGCACACACCCCTCCGGGGCTGCCCGCCAGGGTCCACTCACCATGATGCCATTGTGAATGAAGCCACGGCGGTAGCGGGCCGGCTTCAGGTGAGGGTACTCCTCTGTGCTGGTCACACGGATGCCCCACACCTGCTTCCAGGCCTCATACAGCTGCACATGCACAGGGTACACACCCGAGTGGTGGGGCGCCACTGCGTACCCCATGTCGGTGGGAATGCCATGCTCCTGGAGAGAGGAGGGCCAGGGTAGGATAAGCATGGGATTTCTTCCCCTCTGGGCCTTCTTTCCCCTTTATAGAATGGGAGAGAAATCAAAGACTAGAACCGCAATGCTATGGGTCCATGATCTCCAGTACAGGTGGGACGTTAAGGCCCACGGAGGGAGCCTCGGGATCTCAGTATGGGTGGCTGGGCCAGAACTCTGACTCTGCCCTGTGTGCGAGCCTTCTAGCACCCCCGCTAGAGAAACAAGGAACAGGCTTGTCCTGCCTCTCTGGGCCTCTTCTTATATTTTAATCCTGCCAGGATTCAGAATTATTTCACATATTGTAACATATTACTCAGGGAAAAAAGAACTTGGCTGGTGGGCCCAAGCTGAGGACACAGGCCCTGTTCCCGCTCAGCTGAGCACCTGCCCCAGTCTGAAGGTAAGAGGTCGGCCTTCAGAAATAGGCAGGCTTGGATCTAAGTCCTTGGGACCCCTTGGTGAATGTGGCTTCCCTGAGCTCCAGCCTCTTGTCTAAGAGTCAGGCTATCAATAACCGTCCCTGGGGCGCTCTAGGAGACGTGAGCGAGACAGTGGGTTTCAGGACATTCATAAAAAGCTGACAGACCAAACTACAAAGGCAGAGAGGCCAACAGCCCTGTCCCAGCCCGGCCCCTCGCCCGCCTGGGACTGCCTATAGGGAATCTTACTCACGACAGCGAACTTCTTGTTCAGGGCCATCTGCTCAGCCAGCACTGACTGGTTGTGGAAAAGGTGGGGCTGCATGTGGCTCCACATGTGGGGGAACCACCAGAACTCCTTCACATAGGACAGCAGCAGGTCGTCCCCAGCGTCCTCGGCATCGGTACCTGCGCAGGGCACAGGCAGCTCAGCCCGGTTGCTGTGCCACCCTCCCCCCGGCCAGGGCACAGACGGCTCACAGCAGGCACCTGGGCTACAGCATGGAGCATATGGGGTCTAGGGGGTCCTGGGCTGGCCTAGAGTGTGGCCTTGACTCACTGGTCTCCCCACGTTCTCCCCTCTGGGCCCACAGGTGCATGCGTGTCATGTGGGGTTTGGGGGCAAAGATCTCAAGGGTTTCTTCCTGTATTTCCATTGGGCCCTTTATGTTTTACTTACTGATTTGCAGTTCTTTGTATATACTAGATCTTTAACCCTCTGTCACATACCTATCACCACAAAATATCCCATATGCTAAGGCTGAGAATATCAAAAAATGCAGAGATCACCCAGAAGGGTTCAGATTGGGCCTGGGGACTATTTTGTACATTTGGCCCCAAATTGTAGGCTAATTGGATTTTGCCTAGAATTCAAGAGCGGCTGCCATCCTGGGGCCCGTGCAGTGGGTGGCCAAGGGTGCACGCTGCAGTGAGGTGCCCGAGGGTGGCCAATGAGAGCCAAGACTAGAAAAATCAACCAGGACAGTGGTCACCTCTGAGGTGGGTACAATTATAGGGTGTTTTCACATCCTATAGTATGTATTTCTGTTCTTAAAATTCAATTAGCTTTTAAAGCATAAATGCTACAATAACATTAAAAGGTGGGATGGGGTGGAGATGAGAGAGAGAGGCGAGTGTGGCTTCTGTCCCGATAGATTCGCTGGGGCTGTTGGCTCAGGGAGGCCACAGAGGTCAAAGACACCCTTAAAGCAGGCCACTGGTCCCTGGCTGCCCCCTGACACTGTGCTCTAGGGGTCCAGTGGCTGAGGATCCCTTGGAAGTTGCTGGGGGCAGAGTCAGGCCTTACCTGTGTGGAAGAATTTCCCTGAGTAGCCCATGTTGAAAGTGAAGTTGGGGATGTGTGTGCGGAGTTCGTTCTGGGTGTCAAACAGGGCCTAGGAAGGACAAAGGAGGAAAAGAGCAGTGTGAGAAAGCCAAGAGATCCCCCTCCTTCCACCAAGCACCCCGGAGGGTGTGACTGCTGCAAGATCACTGACAAAGTCTGCCGGGGGTCAGGGGGAGGAGAATGCAGGACTGTGCCTGACATTAGGATGGCGAAGACGGCAGCAGTGGAGCCCTGAGGCCTGCACGGGTCCTTGAGGAGTGAGGAGCTCTAGGTGATGACGTGGGTCCCACACCCATGACGCCAGACTGCTGCCCCCTCCACAGGCCCCAGCAAGGGAAGGCCCAGGCCCTAGCCCAGTTCTGTGGCATGTCCTTCCAAAAAGATTTGTAACTTCTCCAGGCCCCAGTAAAGTGTGGGTGGACACAAAGGTGTGGTTGGGAATCAAAACATTCCTATGCTAAGAAAACTTCAAGCGCCCATTATGTCATGAAAGCACTTTGCAAACTCATACTCCTGGTCCTCTTGCACTTCCACTGGCATCTCACTAAGGCCACGCACGCCTGGGAGACAGGCAGGCGCCAGCTGTGCAGCCTTGGTCAGGTTACCACATCTCTCTTAGCCTCAGCTTCCTCTTCTGTGAGACGGGACTCGCAGCAACACCCGACCCACAGAGCTGCCATGAGGATCAGATGAGGCAACACAGAGAAAGGACTGAAAGCAAATAGCTTTGAGTGGGGCACTGGCCAAGCCTCAAATAAATTTGGTTACAATTGCTGCACAGCCCATACAAGCTAGTATGGCGACCTTCGTGCTCGGAGAGGAAGGCTCTGTGTAGCTGGTGCATGGGGTTAAGAGAGAAAAAAAACATCTCTGCCCTTCCTGATGGTGGGCCATTTACAGCAAGTGGGAGCCTGGATGGTGCTGCGCTTACTGTGCCCGGAGTGCTCGGGAGAGCCGCCTCTCTGTAAGAGACAGAAACGGCACAAACATCTTCATTATTCTCACTCTAAAAATGGGGGAAATGAAAACCAAAAACGACAACTCTGAGGGTCAAGAGGGACATGGTGAGCCCATGGTCTTTGTTCCAGGTGGAGTCAACGCTGGCCCAGTCTCAAGACTTACTCTGGGCAAAAAGCTAGGTTACCATTGGAGAGGGCAGGTGGGGCCACCTACCCCACATAGAAAACACAAGTCTACTTTGCTGGAGGTTGGTCATAGCATTATGTAAAGCCTCAGAGCTGGAAGGTTCAATGGGAGTCATCTAAAAACTTCCTTTCAATGGGACAGCCCTGGAGGGGCTGATTCTCAGGAGGAAGCAGGATGCGTAGAGGGGCCTACCTGGCCCACCAGCTCTAAGCTCTGTGAAACTCCTGCTGCACCAGGAAACCTCCCATCTACCCCATCTTGTCATTTTACCACTGAGGCCCAGAGATAGGAAAGGACTGGCCCAAGTCATCAGTCAGTCAGGGTGAAAGTAAAATCTAAGTGCAGGTCTTGACTCCCCAGACAGTGCTGAGGCTCTCAATGCCAGCTGCCCTGCTCTGCACCTCTGGATGGGTAAGGAAGGGCAGAGCCCACAATTGCCCAAGGCAGAAGGCTGCACCCCACCCGGCCTTGCATCGGGTGGACAGAGAACACAGCATCCAACCCCAAATCACTCAGTGAGAAAGGCATTCCTTCTACAAGTCTCTTCTTCAATTGTCCACCTCACTTCAAAAAGAAATCTTACTTCTGTGCTAATATGTTGCTGACATTTGCTAACACTGCACAGTTCTCTGTGCAGTGGCCAGGGGCAGGGCCAGGACCAGGGGCAGGGCATCTAGAATATAACCCCCTGTTTTGTTTCACTGGGCCAGATGTGACGGCTTCTCTGCTCACAGCAACGCTGACTTCTCCACTGATGCTAGCGATGCTTCCGTGCAAACAGCTTTGAGTGAAACAGCAAGAAGATGAAAACCATTTTAAAGATTGCTTAATAGTCTTAACTTACAGACTTGTCTTTAACAGCGATAGTTGACATTTGTATAAAATTCTGTGGTCTGCAAAATGCTTTTATACAAAGTTTAGTTTGGTAAACACTTTTTGAGTTAAACACATGCATTCCACTATCAGTTAAAATATGCCTTCAGCCTGACTCAAGCTCTAATTCTTGTTTGAAGAGATTTGCGGGAGCTCTGGCACTGACAGAAACATTTTTGGAGAGTTAAAACCGTGTCTGGATGAAAAGGCAGATAAATGACCCTCCTCCCATCTCTGTTTCAGTGACCGGGTCTCTTCCTCCCTAGAGTGACACACTCCAGATGCAAAACCCCTCCACATTCACTATGTCGGCAGAATTTTAAATGACACCGACATCTACTAAGACAATGAGTGAAGCCAACTGACTGAGGGAAGGGCCGACAGCCCGGGTGGACGCAGACAGCCACGCCAGAAGAGGCTCAGAAGGCTGGACCTGCCGGGCGCTGGGACATACCTTCACGTCCTCCACCTTCATGCGCGTGCCCTCCTTGCCCACAAAGATGTCATCGATGTCCACCAGGATATAGCGATCCAAAGGCAGCGACAGGCGCTTGCCAGTGAGGAAGGCCACGGCGTCAACAAAGACAAGCTTGTGCAGCCAGAAGTTGAGGTTGTTGCCGAACAGCACGCGCTGGATCCCATCGTGGAGGCCCAGGTCCTGGACCACCGTGGCATGCAGTGCGGCATGCAGGCCGGCGTCCGCGCCCAGGTGCGGGATGGACTCGGACGAGCGTGTCTTAGCCAACAGCACCGGCTCATAGGTGGAGTGGTTTGACTGGAATACCGTCCAGTCCTCACCTGGCAACACGCCCTTCTCCACCTCACTGGGCCTCATCACGTAGAGCAGAGGGGACTTGGGGTTGATGCTGCAGTCCTTCAGGCCCAGGTTCGAGTGCAGGAACAGGGGGAAGCCCTTGAGCTGCGCGCTCAGCAGGCTGTTCTCGTTGGCCTGCAGTGGGGGGGAGTGGGTATCAGATCCAGAACCCCAGTGGCCACAGGCTCCCAGGGGTAATATCACTAATGTTCACTCACATGGAAGCTGCCCATCTCCCTGTCTCTGTGCCAAGCAGTGGAAACCAGCTCCCCCACCAGAGACCATACCAGCCACACAGGACGCGCGCACCAGAGCCAGGCTGTTTGTGACTGTGCGCTGCCCTCGCAGGGGTGCTGCTAATCCTCACAGTGACCAGGTGGAGGGGTGGCTGTCACTGCCATCTCACAGAGGGCACCTTGCCCAGAGACACAACGTCACTGCCCCAAAACCACACACTCCAGCAGCTGAAGCGCATGAAGTCTGCCACTAGGCTGCCTGGTCTTAGGCAAGTCACACAAGCTTTCCGTGCCTCAGTTTCCTCTGCTATAAAATGTGGGAAGGGATGAAAACTACCTCCTGGGGGTGGGGGTGGTAGAGGAGGGTGAGTGTTAAGGCCAGCAAAGTGCTCAGAACAAAGCCAGCTCATTCTGTCCTCATGCCAGCCTGGAGGGCAGGCCCCTTTGCTATGCCCTTCACAAAGGAAACTGAGGCTTTAGGAGAGTACTACCCAAAGTCACACAGGGATCAGGAGGACCCCAATTTGCAGTCAGAGGGTCTGAGCCTGGAGTCCATACACTGGGCCTGCCTGGGGTTTCCAAATGGGCTTATGCCACACAGCCCTGTCTTCAGGAGAGTCTTGGGAAAATGCCAGTGGAAAAGAGATCAAAGAGGAGGTATCCATGGGGGCGACAGGAACAAAGACACTCAGCATTCCCACCCCTCCATATGCCCCCAGCACCCTAAGGCCAGTCGCTTCCCCGCCCCAAGAATCTAGCTCTCCATGCCTCTCTTTTCCTTCCAGGGTCTGCTGCCCATTCCTCGGGGATCTGCCGACAGCCCCCACAGTCCCCTTCCCTAGGCTCACACCCCTGCTCCTTCACGCCACCCTTCACTCCCCGAGTCGCCTGCCTCTAGATGTGGTACAATTTGTTCTTGTCCCTGTGCCAGTTCCATTCTGTCTTGGCCTGGCAAACTCCTGCTCATCCTTTAAAACCCAATGCATCACACCCTCTTCTCTGCACTGACCACCCTGGGACCACAGCCTCAGTTGCAGCACTTCTCACCCTGAATGCTGTGCTGCCCGCTCAGGTGCTCTCTCCCATCAGTCTGCACCCTCTGAGGGCAGAGGCTATGTTATCGCCACCTTTGGATCCCTGCTACCCAATCCAGGCTTTACACCCAGTGGGATCAAACACATGTTTGATAAGTGGATTTTTAAAAATGATGAAAGGACAGCTCCCAGCACCTGGTACATGAGAGCCGTTTAATAGAGGTTTCATTTGTTCACCCACAGCTGTTTTCCACACCAGGCACTATGCAAAGTGTCAGGGACACAAGTGAGAAAACACAGACTTGGTTCCCACCCTCATGAACCTTAGAGTCCAGCAAGGACGAGAGACTTCAATCAAAACCATAAAAATAAACATAAAACCTCAGTGTGGCTCTGCACAGCGGACAGTCACAGTTCTAGAAGAATAGATAACTGGGTATAACCAGCTGGCTCACGAAAGGCTTTCCAGGAAAGGGGCTTTTGAATTAAGATTTAGAGAATGAATAAACATCAAGTAGGAGGGAGGTAAAGGGCCAAGTTCAAAGGATACCAGTGCAAAGGCCCAGTGCAGAGTGGTCCGGAGGAAGAGGAGGAGATGAGGCAGAGAGGTCAGCTGTGGCCAGAGCTGCAGGTCACTGGAGGCATGAAGTGGCTGGAAGCAGCCAACAAAGACCCATCAAAGGGTTTTGAAGAGAGAGTGACAGGTTTGAATGTGCATTTTAAAAAGCTCCATCTGGCTTCCGAGTGGGGAGTAGGTGGGTGGGGCAGAGCAAGGATAGAGAAAGGTCACCCAAGGGGAGAGGGAAGCAGGTCGCAGCAGGGACCTGGAGAGATGGCCGGGGGAGGGCTGAGTTGTCCCCAAGCAGAGCTGCCTCTGCTCAGAGCGGGGCTATTACTCATCTCCTCCCCACACGAGCATTTCTTTCCAGTTTCCATTAAGGCACTACACGGCCCTGCCTTGAGAACTGTGATAAGAAGCCTGCTTTCCTCATTCTTCACTCACTAGGCACACCTGCCGGCTGCCCCCTCTGTCCTGAGCCCACCTCGGGTATTGAGGGTCAAAGCAGATCCTGTTCTGAGAGGCCACATCCCCCAGTCCCAGGCTCCCCACCGAGTCAGACCAGCACTGGCCCCAGATGGGAATGGTTTGGGCTGGGTGAGAGCTAGGTGGTGGGGGTGACAACCTTTCAGGCCAGGTCTATCATCTGCTGTGTCCTGGGAGACCACACTGGACCACATGCCAAAGGGGGGAGGAAGGGAGGTGAGGACAGGGAGTGTGGATCCCATTTCAAAGCCCCAACCTGGAGTTGACTGCCAGAAACTCACAGCCCAGCCAGCTGCCCCAGCTGGAAGATGTCAAAAAAGGGAGAAAGCCAAGTGGCTGATCGTCCACCCCAGTTGGCAATGAAAGGAACCAGCTGGGGACAGGAAGGGAGTATAAGCCTCACGTGACTGAGACTGACCCCCATCTCAGTCTCGCCCCATGGGAGGGAATCCCTCCTGTCCTCAGCATGAAGGATCTACTCAGGAGACACCAAGCTTTCCAATGGGCTCATGCAGTCCAAGGAAAGAAACCTCGATCCAGAAATCAGAAGGCCTAGACTAGTCTAAGATGATGACCAGCTGGATGACCTTGGAACACTACATCTGTTCTCGGGATCTCAGTTCCGCGTCTAGTCATTTTGCTCACCTGGGATTAGGTTAGCAAGCATGAGCATGTCGGCTCTGATTTACAGCTGTCACTCTACACACCCATTCAAAACTTCTGAGCCTCCACACCTTGGTTGATAATAAAGTGCTTGCTTTCCACGGAGAATTACACACAGTCAGGCCTGCAGAGCAATAAGCTCGGGGTCAGCACATTGGAAAGGCATAGGAAAAGAATCTGGGGAGCCCTTACTGCCCTCTGCCAGGATGTGCTTAGTCCCAGGGTCCCTGGAGTTGTAAGTTCAAACAGGGTGATGAAGACCTGAAGTACCTCACGGGGTACATGCTGGTCTGAATCACAGACAGACAGAGTGCTACCACCTGCGGTGTTTGCTAGACATGGAAATGACAGAACGTGGCAGCCGCCATTTATTGGGTGGCTGGTACCAGGCCTGCACTACTGCTTCCCACAGTGTTTTGTTTGAGTTTTAACATGGACCGGCAAGGCAGGCACTGTGATTTACCCCCTTTACAAATGGGTCCCTCTGCTTAAAAGTGCCCCCAAAATCTGGGTTTTCCAGACCCTGCACCCACACTGACCTAGGAGCCCAGCATCAGTGGGACTGGAAAGGGAGTCTCCAGATCCTGGGAGTGCACATGCCCTCCAGCTCTGGCAAGCCCAGGGCAGAAAGGCTGCAAAGAAAGTTGCACCCTGACCACCAGAGGGCGCCCGTTTGAGCAGAAAGTCCCAGACCTCTTAGGCAACAGGAGAAGAGGGCCTAGGATTGTCGAGAACCCACAAAGTGGGACTCTGCAGGCCCAGCCTCTGCAGAGCAAAAAATTGGGGCCAGATAGGATCCAAGCTCTGTGGTACCAATAGTGTCAAAGACCCCATACACTGCCGGGTCTGCAAAAAGACAAGGAGCTCAGTGTGCTGGATGTGACCTCTGATAGAAATTCTCCTAAATAAATAGTATTTGAGGCTCCTGCACTCATTCCACAGTGATTAAATCGAAGGCACCCAGAGCCAGACTGCCTGGGCTCAATTCTAGATCTGTACTAACTAGAGGGGTAAGCCAGGGCATGTTTCCAACCTCTCTGCCTCAGTTTCCTTCTCCCTTAAATCAGGATGATACTCACCTGCCTTGGAGGATGGTTACGAGTATAAAAGGAACTGTGGCAGCTTGTGGTGGTGGGGAGCACCCAATAAATATGAGCCACTGTGACATATCTCAGGCATGGCTCTGATTCAATATAATGAGGTTCATGGCAGGAAGAGGAGCACAGTTCAAGAGAAAAGAAAACAGAGACATGACGGCAGCCTGGTGTACAACACTGTAAAGCCATAAACCAGGACCACATGTCCCAGAGGCTGCTCTGTAAAAAAAAAAGGGCTCTGCGATCAGGCCAGCTGGGGACAAACCTCTGCTGCAGGACTTGTCAGGGTCTTGCGTTTCTGGGCCCGCACAACCTTTGTAGTGGCAGAGCAAGCTGCTACACATATGTATGAAAGAGCCTGCTGAGGGAAACCCTTTGCTCAACGAGTTCCTCCTAGCACCATGCACAGGGCCTGGCACACAGGAGTGCCCACAAGCACTGGGGACCAGGCACGGCTACTTCTGCCACATCTGCTCCTCTCCTCACTGATGCTGAGCAAGAGCCTGCTTCATGAGCTGTGCACGCAATGTCCCTCAGAGAGCCACACGCTCTGCCCCTCCCCACCTAATAGGCATGTACCAGGACGCTTCCCCTGGCCATCCTATCAAACAGTAGCAAGGCCCAAACCCATCACTCTTCCGCCCTTTCCCTGCTTTAGCTCTCTAGTAGTTATTGCCATCTGCCATGTCATGTGTTTATTTGCTCATTGTCACCCACCACACCCGCTGCCATGCAGTGGCAGCTCCACGAGAGTAGTGACTCTGCACACCTCCCGCAGTGCTGTCTCTGGTGCGCAGCACAGGACCTGGAGCAAAAAGGGTGCCAGTGAACATCTGCTAAATGCAGAAACAAATCCCCCCAAGCACCCACGGAGGCCCTGCCGCCATCTGCTCCCCGCTTGCAGGCAGAGTTCTCTGACGAGGCCCTGGATGCCCAGCCCGGCCAGCCCAGCCTCCCTTCCCAAGGACAGGTTCTCCATGGCACTTTCAGCAAGATCCCCGCAGCTGTTCTGGGGACAGTGCAGATCCAGAGCAGCTTACTTCCCCACTGAGTCCCTCTCCTCTTTCTTTCTTTTTTATTTTTTTAAAGATTTATTTATTTATTTATACAAGCACTGGGTACAGTCAGAAGCCCGGGAGGGTGAGAGAATTCATCAGAGCCAGAGCGGGGAGCAGAATAGGCAGACTGACGAAGTACACTGCTGAGGGGAGCAGCGGGCAACAGGAGAGGTCTGGGCGCCATGTGGGACCCTCGCCGGTGGCTGGGGATCAAACCAGTGCTGCAGAGGCTGCAGGAAGCTTCGCAGCCCAGAGCTCAACTGCTGCGCCACGGGAGAGGCCCCCCTCCTCTTTCTTTCAGTGCAAAATGGCTCTGACTTGACAGGTGCATCACCTCCATGCCCCAATCCAGCCGAGGGGACAGGGTGCCAGATCCAGAGCTCCAGTGATCTACTTCTCTCCCCCTCACTGGCTGCACAGCTTCAGACGCGCTACTGAAACCTGCTGAGCCTTGGCTTCTCTACTACAAAGTGGGGACACACTCTATCCTTAGGGGCACTACTCTGACAGGTTTCCAGGGGCCTAGCATATGTGTGCCAGACCCTAATTCCTCTGCTGTGCTCCTGACAAAGTTAATACTAGGTGCGCAGGAAGAGCCAGCACTGTGGGTGGCAAGCTCTTCACATCAACCCCTCGTTTGACCTCACAACTACCCCAAGTGGGAAGCACTACCCTCACACCCACTTTTCAGGTAAGAAAAGTCAGACAATCAATCAGCCAGGATGGAGAAAGGTTCAGAAGCAGCCAGGACGCTGATCTTCCTGGGGCCCGGCCCCTGCCTACCTTGAAGAAGCCAATGATGCCCACGCCGTAGGCCACACAGTATTTGTCCAGCAGCTCCCGGTTCCAGGAGTCCAGGTTGACATACTTGAGGATGTTCTCATAGATGATGAGGGCGAAGCGGCCACGGCCCTTGTCGGTGAGCGTGGGCATGTCACCCTTGCCTGGGGCGATCTCAGTGCGGTACTTGAAGCGACTGGACTCCAGGATGGCCACCACCTCCTGGCCCAGCTGCGAGTACAGGCTCTCCACAAACACCAGCACCAGTGGGTCCGTGCGGGAAGGGGCAGCTGCCTGCATGGGCTTGAGTGGCAGCAGGCGGCTGGGGGCCACGGGTGGTGGGTCCCCAAAGTCAGGCTCAGCAGCTTCCGCTGAGGGCTCCAGGCCCCGCTTCCAGCCGTACAGGTAGTAGGCCGAGACAAAGACACTGAACAGGCAGAAGATAAACAGCAGGAACAGGACAGCCTGCGGGGACACGTGCCGACACAGCCTGCGGAGACGCGCCAGGGAGGGCATCCTGGCCCCCAAGACCTGGGCCACTGGAGGCTTGGCCTGCCCTGGCTACCCCAAGGCCCCACGAAAGGGGAAACACCAGAGTTGTCCACTGACTAACAAATTCACAGAGACTTAGCAAGCAAGGTCCTCAGTGGGCAGTGGGAGTGGAGGATCTGGGCCCCTGGCCCTTCCTCCCAGCCAGGGGCACAGTCCACAGGCTGGTTGCGCTCCTTCCTTCCCCTGCGCCCCTTTATGTCACCATGGCAAACCCCCACGTGGTCCTGTGCACAGCAGAAGTGCCCCAGGGCGTCAGCGCCTCCTGGGGGGTCTGAGCAGCAGACAGAAGAAGACTGGGCAGGCTTCGGGGTGCAGCATGCTGCTCACTCTGTGGGGCCTCTGGGGCCAAGCTGTAGAAAGAAGAGAAGAATCAGAAATTAAGACTTGGAGAGTCTGATTAGCTGATTAGCTGGGTACCCTGATTAGCTGGACCCACATTAAACATAGCTTCCCAACTGGGGTTTAGGGCAAGCTCCTGAATCTGAGCCTCAGTTTGCCCATTTGTGACAAGGGGCTGACAATAGCGCCCACCTTACCAGAGGCTGGGGGATTAAGTCCAATAATGTGTGTCAGTCACTTAGCACAGTCCCTAGCATATGGTGTCTACAATGGCAGTTGCTATTTGTTATCAGAGGACAACACTAAACCAAGAAAACTCCAGAAGGACAAAGGGAGACAATAAACATTTGCAAGACCTAGGAACTAACAGTGGAATTCTAAATTAGGACCTCCTCATCTTCCCTACCCATTTCCCTCTCTGATCGAGCCCAGCAGCCTCATCTAACAGATGAGAAACCAAGGCTCAGGCAGAACAGTCAAGACTCAGCCCAGGGCTGTCAGAGGTCAGTACCTTGGCTGTGCCAGATGACCCTCTCAAGCAGTGGTGACCTCATGTGTGAAATCACTACCCCTGCAGCACGGGCTTAGGGCCAAGGGTTAACTAAGTAAATGTGTCTGAGGAAGCCACACTCAAGAAATGGCAGCTGTCACCAGTGCAACAGGCATCCTCCACCCTTGGGCACCTGCCCTCACATGCACACACCACCCCGGACAGCTGGGGACCCAGCCCCCAACTTGATGATCAGGAGACTGCTAGGCAACTGGGGAGGGAGAAGACAACTCCCTCAATGCCACCCAGGTAGCCAGAAGTCCGGGTTCCCACCTCCCCCTCAGTCTGACCTGCCCAGGGTAAGCCCATGCATCAATCTCGGGGAGCCCACAGAGACCTAACACTACGTACACTACACAAAGGCCCCAATTTCCTCACCCCAAATAGCATCCTCACCATGGACCTCAAGTATCCCTTAAACCTGAGTGGAAGCAGCTGCTGACAGCTGGGAAAGACAAGGACAGAGGTGTGCAGGGCTGGGCTGGCACAGCCAGGGAGGGAATGTAAGCCTCAAACCTGGACTTGGGGGTGAAGATCCTCCAGAGCCCTTAAAGGGACAGCTCAAGACTGTATGGTGTGCTGGGGCGGGCACAGCACACAGAGGCGAAGCCATGGTGCTGCGAGGGCCTCTCCTCCAGGCAGTGACTGCAGAAGAGTGTGAAGATTTCCCAAGGACAGGGATCCAGGTGCTGTTTCTGACAGTGAATGCCCAGCAACGGGGGCTTGTCTTCAGCAATTAGAACTCAAGCTTGTGAGGAGACCCCAAGCAGCCATTTACTGTGCACTGAAGAAAGACACTGACTAACGCAGGAATATAATGACAAAATACATCATTCAAGTGGAAAATATTTATAAAACAGTATGGATGATGGCCAGAAACTGGTACTAAATCCAAAAAAACCCTAATCTCTGAGTGATTTTTCCCCCTTTTGTTTCCTAAATTTCCCAGAATAATCACCCCTAATTTTTGTGAAAATAAGAAAACAAATATAGTTAAAAGATGTGTTCAGAAATAAGGGGCAGGGCTGTGAAACAAAGAGGCATATGGGATACCGAGTCTTCCCCCAGCCTTCACGACAGGTTGTGTGATCCCGAGCACACCCTGTCCCTCTCTGGGTTCTGCCGGACCATCTCTGGGGGCTCTCCTACCTCTGAAACTCTAAAACCATGTCTGACTATGTGGTAAGACCATGGGGATCCTGAGGCAGCCGAGAAAACAGGCAGCTACAATGCAGTCAGCTGTGGGTATGGATGGCAGAGTGGGAGAAGGGAGCAGGTCTGACAGAACTGAGGTGGTTCGGGGATCCGGGGAAAGCATCACCAAGGAAGCAGAACCTGAGCTGATGAGAACAGGCTGGGGCACAGCTTGGAGATAAGGGAGTGTGCAGGGCTTTCTAGGGCCCCCTGCAATTCCATGGGAGCGGGACAAAACGGGGCAGGTTTCTGGCGGGTACACCATGTCCCATTCCCCACTGATAAGGGCAGCCCTTCTGCACTTCGGCATGGGGAGTTCCGCCTCTGTTTCAGGGCAGGAGCACAGGATAGAGCTGCCCAGGCCATGCCCAGCCTCCTGTCATCAAGGCCTGGGAGCTCCCACCCACTTCCCCTGATCCCCCCACACACCCTCGATCCACTGCATTAACACCTTTCACCATGTGTGTCGATGCAGCCTCAGGCAGCTGGGAGTGATGACCCTTATGGCATTCTAGACACATTTTCCATAAAAAATATGCATATACAATGAAAATGTAACCATTCAGGGAGTTCAGACATCTTTCCCCACTAACCACCCATAAAGAGACTAACAGCCACAGGGACACCCTGGAGCCAGGTGACTTCATTAGAACTCATTGCACACCCAATGGCTGTGTGATATTGAACAAGTTAGCCAGCCTGGTAGTGCTCAGTTTCCTCACCTGGGAAATAGGAAAATGGGATATCTCAAAGTTGTAAAAGTTAAATGATCTGATACTTGTCAAGCGCATGTCAGCACACAGTGCAAAACGTGCATCAGCAGCTACTGTCATGACCCTGGTTGCTTATTTAATGTCCTGACAGAATGGAAAACAGTGTCAAACTCTATCCTCCCCGCTCTTTCTCAAGTCCCTAAGAGTTCTCAGAATCCGGAATCCCCATTTGCAGAGACTGTGCCCCTTCTAGAGGGGCTGGCTGGATGGGCAGTTCTGGCTGGTGACAGGGGAGGACATTAGGCAGAAGGTCATGGCAAAGCCCAGAAGGAGGTGACGGGGAGGGAGAAAGAGAGTAATCCAACTCTCCCCAGAGAATGTGAAGTACCCTATGATGGGGGTCTGGACAAAGCACCAGCCCCCAGCACTGGCCCCACTGCAACCCCCTCAAAGGCCTGGTGCCAGTTGTTCAAGGCTGTTTGCACCCTCTGGGGCTCAAGGAATGAAGAACTGGGGGGCTTCTAAGCCTCCTGGAGTCATTGAGGCCTCAAGGCCAAGTGGGGGCTGAGGCCTCAGTGTGCCCCCCTCACCCAGGGTCTGCTAGTCCTTGCCGATTTCCCAGCTGAAACACCAGCCTCACCCAACCAATCACCAAGTCACTAATTTTGACCACACAACTAAGCCTTTGCTAATGAAACTCCCGTTGCCTGAAGTGCTCCCCGTCTACCCTGGAGAGACTCACTCATCCTTTCAGACCCCAACTCTCTGAAGTCATCTTCAGCTACTATCCATCCCTCTGGAAGCCACCCTGCTCCACAGGGCTAGAGACTGAGAACCAGACCTTCCGGCCAAAGCAGGCAGCAGTCATGCGTTCCTTAGCTTGCAGAGCATTTTTCTTTAATCTGAGACTAGTTATCAGCATTTTACAATCAGGACCTTTCACCCAGAAGTCAGAACTTCTAACTCCTCTTTAGAAAGAACACTTCTGGGATATGGGTCACACATCCCCGCCGCCAGCACTAAGGAACTTACAGCAGCAGCCTGTGAACTGGCCATGCCAGTTCACACAGTCCCAGGGCAACCCCCTTCCTTCACTTGGCCTCCTACCCTGGCCCTGGGTGCTCCTGAGCAAGCGGGTCCTGGCAGAGCCCCTCTGCCCCTCTGCCTATGCAGCCTGTAGCACCCAGTCAGGACCGGGACTGACTGTGCTGTCAGGTGCCTGGCACAGAGGCCCTCCTCAATACCCATTTCCCTTTCTCCTGCTCGTGGGTGCCCCGAAGGGCAGAGACAAGTCTGGATCACCAAGGAAACATCCACGACTTTCTCCAGGCATGGTACTCAGGACGGAAATGAAGAACAGCTGTCATTTCCAATTTAAAGATGAGGAGACTGAGACCCCGCATGCAGTGACTCGCCACAGTAATATAGGCAGCCACTAACTCTTGACTCAAGCGGGTCTCCCTCCTGACTTCAAATTTGGCCTTTCATTCTTCTATGGAACCCAAGCATTTCTGTAATAAAGATAACAACAACAATATCACTATAACTGTCATCGCTGTTATTTTTTTTTCTGCGTATTCATCATTTACTATGAGCCTAGTGATACTAAGCACTTTTAGATACCTTATCTCATTTAATCTTTACAATATTTACTATCATTATTCACATTTACAGTTAAGGGAAATGAGACTCAGAGAAGTCATGTCACTTGCCCCAAATCACCCAGCTAGTTAGTGGCAAAGCTGAAGTTTGAACCCAGATGCCAAGGGAGGGAGATGGCTCTAGAGCTTGCAGGTGAGCCTTGGCCAGGACAGGGAGAGCAGGAGGGGGTCTCAGCCACAGAGACCTCAACCTTCAGCCAGGCTCCCACTGTGCTCTCCCAGCCCTAGGCCCAGCTTTCCCTGCCAAGGTGCTAGGGATAATGAATGAGATGCTCTGGTTGCCATGGAGATGCCATGGCAACGCTGCACTTTCGGGAAATACCACAGTAACTGTGGCCACCACTCTGGAGTTGAAAGTCACTCCCTACCCCACCTCCCACTCCAAAATGCTCTGGGTTCTCCCCACAATCTGCTCTAGGACACAGAGAAGGACGTGGAGTTACAGGGACCTGTTCAGTAATCAGGCTGCCTAGAGGGGAGAACCAGGGAGGGCGGTGCTCCACCCCGCGTGGGCAGGTGGCTCAAGGAGGGGGCCCCAAGGCCCAAAGCCTTGCAGACTGCATCTCTGAGCCTTTCATGATGCAGTGCACCTCACAGCCCAGCTAGCATACACACCAGGTGCCTACTACGTGCAGCAGTAGGCCTCCTGCATTATGCTGTTTTACCATGGCGCTTCCAGGCTCAGACTGGAGCTAGCCTCCCTGGGTGTGAGTTTGTCCTCCATTACTTACTAGCCTTGTGAACTTGGAGCAAATTGTCAACCTCACTGAGCCTCAGTTTTCCCCAGAATAAATAGGGTTTACACTACTTTGTCTATCTTGCAGGACTGCCAAGAAAAAAGAAAGATGATCTCAGCACTAGGCATAAGTAATTATCCATTTAACAGATTGGGA